CTTTTCATTGACGGAGCAGATAGAACATGTCCTGATAAGAAGAATAGTACTGAGCAGTTGGTGTGCAGATGCTACGGGGTTGTTGGGAAAACTAGCCGGGGGGTAAATCCAGGCTGCTTCTGCCGACTTCCACCCCCTGCAGACACACCTGAGGGGTGGAGCCCCTGCCCCACCCTCCAGTCTTGTCACACTGCACATGTATGCTGTTCCTTTTACCTGGAGTGCCCTTCAGTGAATTCCCATTCATGCCACAAATCCCAACACAGGCGTCACCTCCCCCAGGAAGCCTTCCCTGATGGCCACCCCACCAGCTCTCAGCCGTTCCTGCCTCTATGCCAGGGCGATCCGTGATTGCATTGGTCACCCACTCTGGCGCTCTGGCATAGGACAGAGATCCCCACATTTCTGCAGGTGTCAGAATCACCTGGAGGGTGAGAATTTGCATTTCTAGTGACTCCTAGCTGAGACTGCAGTTGCTGCTCTTCCTAAGACACTTCCTAAGACACTCTGAGAACAAGGACACAGACTGAGCATCAGCGTCCCTGGGCTCTCATCCCAGCTCCATCACTTGTGGGCTGTGTGTCTTTGGACAAATTACTCACCCTCTCTGGGCTTTGGGGCCTCTGTGATAAACTGAGATGTGAAGGCCCCACGTAGAGCTGCTGTCAGGATCGTGCGAACGCGTGTGGGAACAGGGCTAACCCTGCAGCCCCTTCCCCACCGAACTTCCCGAGGGCAGGACTCACGTGTTCTGGATCCTCTGAGACGCCCAGCCCCTGCCTGAGGGACAGCTGCTGACCACACTTAGGAACGCAGGTGTCCGCGCCCAGTTACAGACTCATTCACATCGTCCATTAATCCAGGGTCGGGAGCCTGGTCAGGCTGGTTGCAGGCTCCCTCCCACTGGGACGAGAGACAGTGTGGTTTAAACCAACAAGGTAAAGGAGATTGCAGAGGGGGGTGTTTAACCCCCTTAAGAGGAGCTGTTGTTTTCGGAGCGCTTGGTGGCATTGGTTTGCAGGAAAGGGGTCCCCAGCACTTGTTAGAAACGATGGATCTATTCATTGAAGCAGAGGCTCCCTGGGGCCCCTGCGGGCGTGCCCTCGGTGGCATTGTAAGCGTGCAGTCAGGAGCGGGGAAGCTAACACGGCATTAGCGATCCGCTGTGCTTCAGGTGCAAAGTGAAGTGAAGCCGAGTGGGCGAACCACTCCCCCGAGACTCCCTAGAACCTGGACCCGGCCTGCCGCGGCTGAACGGGCAGCGTGTTTCAGCTCGTGCGGGTCTGTCTCCCTCCCCGACCTCAGGCCTGGGGGTGCGGCTCGGAGCCCCAAACTCCATGGTCCCCAACTCCCAGGGGCCTCGCCCCCAGGGGCCCTGAGAGTGGGTTTGGCCCTGGGCCAGGCGTGCTGATGGGGAGGTGTGGGCGGCTGGGCAGGGGAGGGCAAGGCAGGGCCCGCCTCCTGATTTGGCCCCACCTGGCCCTCTGGGGACGTTTTGCTTTTTGTTATTCTCTGTGCAGAGGAGAAGGCACAGGTCTAGCTTCATGGTTATGGTCATGTTTGGGGGCGAAGTGCACCTGGGCTCAAATCCCCATCATCCAGGCACTAGCTGTGTGGCCTTAGGTAAGTTACTCAGCCTCTCTGAGCGTCAGCTTATCTATAAAATGGAGGGTTGTTCAGAATTGAATGTGATCACTTCTGTCAAAGGCCTGAAGCAGGTGTGCACCCTGTGAGAGGTGGTCCCAGCAGTAAAGAGAGGAAACCGCCCCCAGGGCTTAAGGAAGAGGCGAGAAGAGTCAGGGAGGGGGAAGGGGGCTTGGAAAACCCAGTCCTCTTGCCTGGGGTCCAGGACTGCACACCAGATCTGGGAGCTGGGATTTGATTGCAGGTGCGAGCGCTGCCACTCTGGGATGCAGCCCCCTGGGCGGCAGGGCAGGTACGAGGGCCCTGACGGGACGGGGAGGCACTGCCAGGCTCTGCGGGCGCCCTGGGTGCCCGGCTCTGGCTGGACAGCTACAGGCGGTGTTGCCAAGCCTCACACCATTCCTGCAAGGAAGGTGCGGCCACCCTGCTTTGTGGGTGAAGACACCGAGGCCCCGGGAAGCTGGGGAGCTTGCCCGAGGTCTCGGGTTGGGGTGGAGGAGCTGGGGTGTATGTTCCAGCCTGCCGCCCGGCCTGCCCCTTCCCTCTGGGGCAGAGAAAGGGGTGGAGGGAGACCCACTTGGGTTCTGTCGCCGGCACAGAGTGAGCACAGGGGCAGGCCCGGAACAGTCTGGAGCCTGCTTCCTGAGCCGTCCCTGAGGGAGGGCTGCGCCCACCCGCGTAAGCGTCGCGGGTCACACCCCTGCCCGCCCAAGGACCTGGTGGTGGCTTCCTCGTGCCACCAGCCAGGAAAAGAGGGTTGAGGATGAGGGACTGAAGTGGGGGCACTTCTGAATGTGTCCTGGGGCTGGTAGGGCGCCCAGATGGGGAGTATGATGAGCAGTGTAGTTTCGGGGCTGGGGGGAGGTCAGGGGAGAGCCCATCGCTGGTGCAGGCGGTTCAGCTTCTTTCCTTCCGAACGCCTTCCTGATGCCGTCAGGCCGCTTGAATCCTGCAAGAACCCCGACGCGTGGCCATTTCCCACCCACTTGATAGACTCATAACTCAAGTGGCTGCACTTAGAAGCCATGGGTCTGTTTTCCGCAGGCCCTGTCCCTGGGGCTTTAGACGAGCAGTCCAGCTCACCTGGCTGCACCCAGCAGAGGGACGGGGCGGGGGGTGTTCCCACAGGAGCCGCCGGGCTGGGGAGGGATGTGGTGCGCACGTTCTGACCGTGGCCACTGCCACCATCTCTGTTCACTTTAACAACACTCCAGCATCGGCTGTGTGGCAGGGGTGGCGGATGTGCTGGGGATCCAGGCTGGGGGGCTTCTTGGAGGAGGTGATCATTCCTGGCTGTCTGGCTTCTCTGTGGAATTCTGTGTTCTGTGCAGTGTCTCTGGCTTTTCACCGCATCCAGTGCTCATACAAATAAGTTCTGTTCCATAGGGACCCACAGGTCACCCGTACCCAGGCTGTGTGTCAGGCTGTTCATGTCCCTGCTGTGCCACCTGGCAGCGGGGGACTGTGGCCTGGGAGGCAGGAAGCTGGGGTCAGCGGCGCTGTTTCCAGGACCTGGCCACATGCGCAGGGCTCACTCCTCACCCCTCGGGGGACCTCGGTTCCCTGTGGAATGAAGTGCTGGGCTGGAGGGTCTGTCACAGAGCCCCCTCCTAGACCTGGAGTCCCAGCGGTGCTGCAGGGTGTTCCTCTCAGTGATGTGAAGAGGGACTCTCGTGATCAACAGACAGGGAGAGAGGCTGACCTGCTCAGAGAGGGGCCTGAGAGGCAGCGTAAGTGCAGCCTGGAGCCTGGGGTCTCTGCGCACTGGCTCTGCTGGGCTTCGGAATCCCCCAGAAGGTGCTCGAAGACCTGTAGTCCCTTGGACCACTGTGTCTTTTATTGATTTCTTCATTTGACTGCTTTTTTTTTCTCTGCAATAGTAATCACTTGTTTAAATTTTTGAGAACTTCATGGTTCAAAAAAGCCCCCCTCCCTCCTTCCCAGCCCGTACCTCAAGCTTAGACGGCAGAGGCCTGTCTCCAGGAGCTTCTGGAACCCCCAGGTTCCCTTCCCAGAGACAACCACCAATACCTGTTTCTTGGGGCTCCTTTAAGAAACAGTCTATGACCCTATTATCCTGCACAAACATAATCTTGTTCCATGTGTCGTGTTGTGTGTGCGCGTCACGTTTGTCTGGACTTTTTATCACAGTGTGTCTCAGATCTGTTCCTGAAGG